TTTTTTTAATGTGTCATTTATTGCTTATTTTATATGAAAATAATATGTTATACGCTATTTCCAGGAACTATATGACTGTATGTGATAAATTTTTATAAGGTATCATGAATATCCTATGATAATTCTCTTTCTGAAACTGGATCCTGGCAGTGTTCCATAGAAGATCAACTATCCATAGAGTTTCTATTGCCAAAGTTCACCCAGATTTGTCTTACCCATTTGCCTTTATATTTCAGAAAGAGCTAGAGGGCTACATAGCCCATGACCTTGAATATCACATTAGAAGTCAGGCATGTGAGTGTGTTGTAGTAAGCCCACCCACCGCTGCAAAACTCATGCTCTGTATTCTTTGACTTCTTTTGCTGTAGTAAATATTCTCTTAAATTCTATGGATCTTCTTTCTGCTGTATCTTCTTTTAGTATTCTCCTCATTCAACTTGTTCTTTGTACGTTTTCCTCAAGTAAAGGTGTGTAAGTTCCCACTCTTTCTTGCTTTTAGTTGGTTAGAAAATGGCCATCTAGTCCTATGGATGTATGGTCTGTGGTTCTGTGATTTGAGAATTAATCCTGACGCTCTTACTGCCAATTCCAGTAAAACACATCTGAAAACAGAAGTCTTAGTGGCTATCTACAAATTTACCTGAGTTGACTTGGGCAGTCCTGCTTCACTAAGCAACCAGAAGGCAAGAACTTCAGTGCTGTCTTCTACCAAACAAAACAGGGAACCAAAACTAACAAAATGCTGAAACCACAGCTTCTCCTTCTATACTGGCTTGTCAGGTAAACAGTGATTTGCAAAAAGCAGCCTGAGTTCTGAGCAGAGAAAAAAAATGCTGTGATGTATATCATCTATATTAGCTAGAAGGTTCTTCATCTGTTGGGAAAATTATTTTGGCATGAAACCAGACCTAACTGATCCTATGGCCAAGGACATCTGCACATTCTTGCTCACATCTACATGCCCCTCAGAGGACTGTCACACTTTTACCCATTTTGAGAAAAGTATCAGCTTTAGTGCACGGTATTGGAGATCAGGGTTTTGACATGATTTCACTTAATTGTTTTAACTATAACATTTAATTGGATGGTCTTCCTCTTCATTTTAGTGTTTTGACATTAATAAATATGACAAACTGCAGTGATGTAAACTGCAGTTCTAATATTTGATATTATGGTTTTCATGAAGGCAAAATGCTGTACTTAGTAGTTGAATTCAAGCACCAGTCCTGCAAAGCCCATTTGTTTCACTTCAAGTGCATGCTACTCCCACTGATGCCTCAGTGAGATTATAGTTGAGCATGAAGAAGGCTTCTTCTTTGGTATTCATTATTCTGTTTGTAAAAATATAAATCAAGAAAGCTAAGTCTGTTTTCTGTGACACATAACTTTTCTATAGGTGTATTTCTATTTGGTTTGACATTATATTTTATCATATGTAATCTTTGATCTTTAGAAAGCTTCATCTTTTTAAATGGAGAGTTTAATATCAAAGGGAAGCAGGAGTCATTTTCCAGGTTAAGCTGCAGTTAAATTACTCAATTACTGACAACCAACAATCTTTCTGTAGGGTGTAGTGGATTAGAATAGCTCATGCATGCAGTAAAATAGAGAACATCAGAGCAAAAACATAAACTCAGATGGGTTTTTTTCCCTTGTGCAATACAGGATTATAAAAGGGATAGTATTTTTCAGTTTAACACGTGGCTATCCAGTGTAGTCAATCATTCATTTCAGCAGGTACATTTGAAATGGAGTCTCCTAGGCTTCATTACTTAGCTATGGACTTAGGACTTTACTTACAAAAAGTATAGTTAAGCCTTTGGCCTCACCCATCCTCCCTGTTACAGGCTCTTCTTCAGCACAATAGCTCCTCTGCTCAGCATCATTCAAGAAAAGATAAGCTATTTTATCCAAGGCCTCCCACTGCTCCTGGGACAGGCTGGAAATAATGACCAAGTTTATCTCTGTGTTATTATTGCTCTAAGGTCAGTCTCAGTGCTCTTTCATCCATCCTCCAGTACTTTCCTGTCCTTTCATTTGTTCGTCTTGACCCAACTTATACGTGTAAGCTCTACTGCATTTGTTAGATCAAGACACTGCCTGCCATGCCTTAGAGCATTAAGTAGGGCAGTGATCCTTAGGGTAAATGGAGCACAGTATGGAGAAATAACCATGATTCTCCTCATCCAAGATTAAATATGCAATTGGAATTTCTACTGCATTTCTCTGACAGTGATTTAGCAGTTCTCTCTTCCTAATATGCATTTTGTGTACTCTTTCCCCCTCCTCTTGCCAATGCACAGAAGTTGAAATCACGCTGTGTGAGGGGTCACATCTCCTTTATTCTGCTCCAGCTTACATTACAGCTGAGGAGTTTTGCACACTGCTAACACTTTAAACACTTGAAAAAAATATATGTTTTCATTTTTTTTTCTACCTGTAAGCATCATGATGAGAAAGATTTAATTTTTCAATCTGTCACAATTATTTAATAGTTTCAGGAATATTTAGCAATTAAAAGAACTGTTAGATGGAGTCTTATCACGAGAAATGCTTTAGGAAACTCCTCCATAGAATGGTTGATTATACAATTTAGTGTAGAATTTAGTGTCGAATTTAGAAACCCTTCTATATTCCCCAATTCCATTTTGAAAATTCCAGCTGAAGCTGTTGGCAAGTATGTAGGGATAAGAGAAGGGAAGATCCATAGGCAGGTCTCTCCTGAGACAGCTGGGATGGTGTGCAAGAATCAGCATCCAGGACATTTGCAGTTGCTTCATTGCTCTCTGTGTTTTTTACTGGTTTTCTCAGTAAAAACACAGACTTATTGCATGGTCTTCAAGAAAGCCAAGTATGGTGTCAAACTATACAGCATAACCAGACTACAGCAAGTAAATCTCTCATTCTCTCTCAAAGGCTCCAAAATATAGTCTTTTTCTTCACATATTTTCTTTCTGTGACCCACAAACCCATGTTGAATCTTCCTTCCCAGATATCACCCCCTACATACACACACGCATACAGGGATGAGCAGCAGCCCTGCTCTACTCCACACTTTTGCTACTATAAAGAGAAGAAAGTAGATTGCAAATGATGGGGCAATACGGGGGTAGCAGGTCAGTAGAGGTGAGGAAGTCAGGCTAAACCATTCAGGATAGCACAGATTAATGCTTAATGTGTTTAATTCCACAGCATTAACATCTAATTTTGTTGTTGTTATAAATTATTTTAATCAAGATAGCACTACTATATTGATATTTTTCCCATCACTGCTCTGTGTGACCATTGCATCCAGACCTTACTGTCCAGGTATAAAAGAGGCTGGATTTGAGGACTCCATTCCCATAGTGGACCCCATGCAGCTGGTCCCCCACCATCATGCTCCTTTGCCACAGGAACCTCTGTTTCACCTCACAGAAAGTCAAAGACCTGGTCAGCCCCCCACTTCATATCCTGTTCAAACAGATGCAGATGTCTGCCATACGGTCCATTTACTATCTGTACCTAACGCACAGGGTCATGGAGACCCTGTACAGCGGATAAAGGTGTGCCATGATAGGTGCCAGACCAAACGAGTCTCCTTGGAAAACACAGTTTCCCTAGCTCCTTATCTTGTGGCTATTTGGACAGGGGCTTCTCCACCACACAGATGGAGGAACCTGTGCATCCTGAATGTATGTTGCAAGGTGTGGGAGCCCATGTCAGGGACTTTGATGCAGGTCAGCCAATATGAACTGTTGGAGGTGAGATTAGTGAGAAGAAAATCTCCTTATCCATCAACCTACCTTCTTTCAATAAGGTTTTGGATGCAGGGATTGTTTGTGGGGTAAAGTAATAAAAGAAGGAATTTTGGCTTGGGCCAGTAAGAAATTATGCCTGTGTGATTGGGATGTGAATGAGTTCCTTGCAACTGAATCCTGACCATATCATCAGCTAGCAGTTTACAGCAGAGTCCAATTTTAAGCCCCAGTGCGGAAACAATAGAAGTTGATTCACCAGCAGCTTGTGAAGGAAGCAAGCCCCAGCCCTGAGTTATGTGCAGCAACACCGAGTGCTCTGCAGGAACAACAAAACAAGTGCTCAAGACGTGCCTGGAGAGCAGAAAAGGAGAAAAAAAAAAAAAAGAAAAATAAAAGAAAAATAAAAGAGAGAGAGAAGAGTTAAGAAAAAAAAAAAAAAACCTTCTGAGTGCAGCTGCTGTGGAAACCAGCCCTACAGCCTTTCTCCGGACTTGGCAGGCAGAGGGGCCTCCTGCTCCACTACCAGCATATTTTCAGTGCCAGCAACCTCTACTTTAACTGTCAAGTGTAGTTTTCCCCTGTGTTGAAAACAGCAATTTGCCAACCAAGTGAGCTTGGAGGCTTGTCTGATGAACCATTATAGAAAGTGAAGGGGAGCAATTTAAACAGTTTTGCTTCTCTAATTTGAAAAAAAAGAATACACTGGGCAAACTAATTTCTCCCACCACGTGTTTCCTTTTCTGAGGTGGATGAATTGCAAGCAGGCAGAAAACTTAAAGGAATATTTTTTACTGCATCAGTATAAGGAGGAGCCTCCCAGTTTGAGCCCTTGGAAACACTAGGAATAATAATAAACAGATAAATAAATACACTTGTGTTTATTGCCCTTGTGCTTTTCCTTCAGCAGATGGTGCTGGTCTCAGTCTGGCCTACATGGCGTGGAAAATAGCTGCAGCCTCCTGTATCCTGTAGAAAGTGCCGCAGGTTTCCTATCATCCTGGGGCTGAGAAAGGGCAGGGAGCCCTTTTTTACCCAGCTGGGGGCAAACTGGCACCAAGGGGGCCCATCTGCTTGGGCAAATACCCTGTCACCATCTGCCAGCTCAGCCCTGCCGCGGCATCCCCGGGCAATTCCTCACGTGGCAGGTACAGGGTGCTCGCCAGGCCTCCCTGCTTGCATGAGCTATGGGGGTGGATGCAGGGAGATGGAGACCTGGATTTGATCCCTTCCCGGTTAACGCTGCGTGGTGTCTCGTTGCAGGGACCTGTGAAATCGGCTGGGCCTACTACTGCACCGGTGGCGGGGCGGCAGCGGCCATGCTCATCTGCACCTGGCTGGCCTGCTTCTCCGGCAAGAAGCAGAAGCAGTACCCGTACTGAGAGCAGCCGTGCCATCGGGCCTGCCCTGGAGCCACGCGACCACCACGGACATGAGACTTGCAGCATCCCAGCTCCTTTCGCTGGATGCGGGTGGCAGAGGGAAGAATGAGGGCGGCAGGCACGGGCAGGCCTTTCCTCATGGCCTCCCAGGGCCGGCTCTGGAAAACATCATCTGTGTGGACCAGGGGAGCCTGGCTCGTCGAACCGTGAAGATCCACCTGCACCCAGTACTCCATAGGTTGGGAACAAGGCAGTGCTGGAGGGCCAGGGCAGCTCCCTGTGATGCCTTGGGCACAACACTCCTGGAAGCACACACACACATGCGCATGTGAATTAACACGCATGCACACGCATGCACATGCATATACATATATACATATGCATGCATGACATGTGCACATGCATGCATATGTATGCACACACATGCACACACACGGTTGTTGACCATGGCACAAAACAAGCAGAGAGGAAACTTCTCGGTGCGATTCTTTCTTTTCTTTTTCCTTTTATTTTCCTTCTTTTCTTTTTTTTTTTTTTAATATTCCTTTCTGGTGGTTTAAGATTCAGTGTTACGACACTTTTTAACCAATACGTTAAACTTAATACAAGGACCAATAAGCCACTTGATCAGTATTTTGTATATTCTCTACACACTTTTCTCCCCAGACATTTAGCCACTGCTTATTCAGTCCTATAGAAATTTTATTAAGCCTCTGTATTATCCGCATTATTACAAAAATGCAACATAATTACTTGGCGTATGTAGCCTTTGCCTATAGTACTTTAAGGAAGTGCAGTAAATGGGCACTTTTCTGTCCATTGAAAATTCCACTTATGGTACTGTAGAACTCTGTTGGTTATGTAAGACTAACAGGAAACTTACTTCTTCCAGACATAGATTTTGTTGCTGTTATGTTTAGCTCATTGATGTCGTATTGTGCTGTACCATGTTTATAATTTCAATATTCATTTTTTGTAAAAAAACAAAAAAGTATATATAAATGTGCTATTTTATGTTTGTATTTGAAAATCTCTGTAAATAAATTTTTCCTTGATCAATACTTGCAATGCGGGGCAGTGTCGCTACGCAAAGAAGTTCCTTTCTCCCTCAGATCCCCATTTAAAGTAATCCACAGAAGTAATCATGACTTTGATAACCATGCTGTGTCCTTTCTCTCTCTAAAACACATACTTTAGGCTTCAGTTATTTCGCCAGAGCACAGAGTTCTGTGGCCACTTGGGACGACCTGATGTATGCTACACTTTTGTCTGAAACTGGTAGGTATAATGCAGGAGTTCTGGTAGACCAGCCTCATTCTGCACTGACAGCTGCAGACTCAGCATCTCACAGGACACTGGATATCTCTGTTTTAGCAACTGGAACAAGCCAGTACTTTCTTAATAGTACTATTTCTTAATCATCATCTTATTGTTAATAATCTTAATACTATTTCTTAATAATTTCTTAATAATACTATTACTTAATAGTATCTACACTGATCAAATGCCTACTAAGAGCTATTCCTTTCCCAAGGAGAACTGGCATTCTTCATGCAAAACTTGAAGAATTAATTTTAAGAGAAACAGTGTAACCTTTAGCCTTCGGAATTTGGAAGGAGCTTCTAATCCTTTCAATGACTAATATTATTTCCTTTCAAATGCATTTTCCCAGTATGTTTCTGTCATCGTGTCTTTCTAATCTTCAGTGTGTTCTAGCTGTGATTTTATTGGTTATTAATGCCTACAGCTGTTTTAACTGCTGAAATCATACAGCTGCATTACATTGGATAGGTTTTCTGAGGTGTGGGTGCATGGAAAGAGCAATGTTAGTTTACAGTGATCAATTCTGATGTTGCTGAACTGGATTTTGTTAAGTTTCATTATAGGCCAGGCAGTATTTATCCAATTTATGGTGTTATGTGGTGAAAATAAAATTGTAACGTAGCCTTCCCAGATTAGCCCATAATAGCTATATCATGTCTGACCGCACTTCTGCTGAGAACCACATCAACTATGCTGTGGAGACACAGGGCAGCCCACTGACCTGCCTGCCTCCTTGCACACCTCTTCCAGTGGCACCAACAGTAATTGTGCACATTGCTCTTCCTTTGGTCTTCCTTTCATGTTTCCAGGTTTTCTAGGCATTTCCTTCCTTGTAAAAGCTTGGGTCCATATTTCAAATCTGCTAGTGGATGCCAGTAGCATTTTGCATAACCTCATATTAAGTACGATTTTGCCCTTTAGAGCTGTGGATTTCAGTTTTATTAAAACCAAACAAGAAATAAATACAACTTTAGCTGCAGTACCCCTAGATCCAGTAAAATTTCTGACAGGTATCGCAGTGAAAAAATGATGCCTTTACACACTGTGCTGCAGTAGTCCTTTTACTGAAACTGCAGTTTGCTATTCAAAGTTTCAAAGAGTTGACTATAAAAAATGTGTTGTTTTTCTAAATTTAGCTTATATCTTTGTCCATGCACATCATAGAGAATATTTTGACGTTTTTTAGTTCTTCCTGTGCTCAGATTCTGGTTTGACTTATCATGACAAAACTGAGATATCAATTACTTCATGAAGAAAATTAGCTTCATATTACAATGCAATATAATTACTGTATGACTGACTTCCTCTGAATTTGTTTATAATCTTTTCTTGTTATTTGGAAATTGAATAAAACAGCAATTTTGAATAATCAAGTGAATGATATACCCTGCACCTGCTCTGTAGCTGGTTATCATATAGCTTTCAGCTGCTGTGATATGAATAAACCAATCACAGCTTAATTAGGCTTGTCCATATTTGTGCATTTTGGTTATGATACCCATTTGCACTAGAATATACATGCCATTTATTATCACATTTCTCTGGCTTCACAGCTACAAACTAATAACTTCAAGGTGGACAAATGACTGCTTTCAGTTTCACTGTTTAAATTGTCAATGAAATATTTACAATATTTACTCTGCTTAATTTACCATTTGTTTATTCTTGAAGATGAGGAGCTTGGCCTTTTATTTGTCAAAATGCAAGATGTAAACTTGGCTTCACTGAATTCTGTTCCTGCCATTATTGGCAATCATGTCACATAATCCTGTTCATAAATTCACCAAGCCCAATATTAAAGCTAGTATTTTTTTTTCCCTAGAACTACATTGGGAAGTTTGTTCCAAAATCTCATTGTTTTGGAGGTTAGGTACGTTATATATTCCAGCCTAAGGTTTTATGTGGTTCATACCTGCTTTTTCTGATTCTGTCTTTATTCTTAGCCTCAATAGCTCTCCTACCTCTTTAGCAACTAACCCTTGCTATATTATTACAATAGTCTTTTCTGCATAATTCTTCAGTTTGCCATGCCACAGGAGCCATGTTCTTCTGGTCTGCTTTCACAAACCTGGATGTCTGTGTCTCCATAACTTTCTGTTGCAATTGTTCCACAGTCTCTACATTTCTCTGAGTTTATTTTCTTCACTGTCAGTAATTGTGTAAGCAACGTACATTCACATAGTCCCTGTAATGTATGTCAGGTTGCCTTTTATATTGTGTTCTGGAGGTCACCGGCAATGTGGATATTATAGATCTGCTTCCAAAAATACTCTGAGCAGCAAGTTTCATAGATCACCTCCAACCAATATAACTACTATACAGAAATGAGTATTATCAAAAATTAGGAACAGAGGTTAATTCAATTTGGAAGTGACCTCTAGATGTCTCTACCCCAACCTTCTTCACCAAGCAAGTGTGAGTTATGAGCTCAGACCAACTTACTCAGGACTTTACAGAGTTGGGTCTTGAAAGCCTTCAAGAACAGAAAACTGTGCAACTTGTTCCACTGCTTTCATGTGGAGAATAGTTTAATTTCTGTATTTCTCTTTTCTGATAAAGATTTCAGAAATCATTTACAACTACAATTTATCTGTCATTCTAAAGTTTGAAGTAGTCTGTGAAAAAATATCAAACTGAATAGCAAGGCAGATAATCTGTACATCAACATAAGCATTAATTCTGCCCTATATACTTAACCTTTCAGAGAGACAATGATGAAATTAGATATGCCTTTTCTTTAAAATGACATTTTAATGAAATCCCTTAAGCGGAAATGATTCTAAATATATGCTTTCTAAACATTCTTTCTAAGTATTCTTGTTATTACTTAAATAAAGATGGATCAGAGAAAATAAGGAAAACTTTGAAATACAGGTTGAAGTTCATTTCTCTCAGTGTTGGGAAGGGTTATTAGGTTAACTTAAATAGATTTCAGAATATTTCAGAATATTTCAGAATATTTAAGGTTGGAAGGGACCTCTACAGATCATCTAGTCCAACCTTCCTGCTCAAGCAGGCACACCTAGAGCATGTGGCACAGGGTGGCATCCAGGCGGGTTTTGAAGACCTCCAGAGAATGATGGCATTTTCTGATGATCTTCACCAAGAAATAAAATGGTTACTTAAATTTATAAGGACATTTGGCCTTATATACTGGTACCAAGAAATAACAATATGTTAGGAATATTCCATTCATCATGGTGGCCATCTTAAAATAAGTCATCACAAGGAAGAGGGTAATTTGTAAAGAGAATATAACACAATTTCATTATGCGTATCTAAATCACCAGTGCACAGCTCATTTCTGTCCGTTTTCTCAGTTGTCTATGAGCAGATGAACTATGTTACTGTGCTTTAAGCTTCCTGAGAATCACAGGATAGTTGAGTTCGGAAAGGACTTCTGGAGATGTCTGGTCCACACCTCCTACTCAAGCAAGGTCACCTGGAGCAGGTTGCTCAGTGTTTGTCCAGATGGCATTTGAATATCTCCAACAATGGAGATTCCACAATTTCTCTCCAAGTAACCTGTTGCAGTGTTGAACCACCCTCACAGCAGTGTTCAGACAGTTCTTTGTGATCAGTTTCCTGCATTTTGGTTTATACCCACTGCCTCTCACTAGCCCTTGCCATCCCCTAAGAAAAGAGTCTGCTTCTATCTTTACTCCTTCCCCTGTTGGATCTTTATGCACACTGAAAAGATTCCCCACTGAGCCAAGGCTGCCCCCAACATGCACATCCCCAATTATGTCTTCCTTGTTTATGAAAGTGCTTTTGAAAACTCCATGCAGCCTCTCTATATCCTTCATGACATTCCTTCATGAATGTCTTCCTCTTCTTTTAATTCTCCAAGAGGTACCGATAGTTTTGACCATATTCACGCTGTACAATAAAAACAGTATTTAAATATACTTGAGAATATTAGACTATTGGACTAAGCAAACAGAGTCATGCTGCA